TGTTACATATCGTCTGCATCGGTATGAAAAACGTACCCCTCATCGCGCACTGCATAGAGCATGTTTCGCATTCTACAACCTAGGCGCGTCACGGCCTCTGAACACGGCACGGCGCGGCACGGCAGGTTGTTCGCAGCCCAGAACCAGGGCGCGACATGGCAAAATTCTCGCCTTCTAAATCCTAGGCACTGCACGGCAAACGGGCACGGCACGGCTCGGCACGTTTTTCGCATTCCTAGACCCAAGCACGGCACGGCACGCGGGCACCGCACATTTTTCGCACTCCAGATCTTGGGCAATGCGTGGCACATGGGCCGGGCACGGCACGTTCACCGAGCTTTTAGGAAGAAACGCGTGGCACGCGGGCACGGTACCGCACAACATTCCGCAGTCTCGAGTTCAGACAAGGCACGCGGCAAGCGGGCACGGCACGACACATGTCGTGCATTGTAATACTCAGGCACGGCATGACACGCGGCGCGAGGGCACGGCACATGTTCCGCATTCTAGAACATGGGCACGGGCGCGACACGGCACGGCACATGCTTCGCATGTTGGAACCCAGGCACGTGATGGCACGTCATGTTCTGCGCACTCTGGAACCAAGGAGCGGCACGGGCACGTCAGAGCACGACACATGTTCCACAGTCTGGAGTCTAGGCACAGCACGCTGTGGGAAATTTAGGCACGGCACGGCACGCGGGCACGGCGCGGCACATGTTTTGCACGTTGGGCTTGTAGCAGCGTTCCCAATGCAATCGACACGTGTCACAGCATCCCGTTGTTTAGTGGGTCATTGTCATTGGTTATTGAATCGCTTCGCTCATGCCGCTGGCCCGTCTTGTGCCATCGCGGGGTTTTGGGGGGTCTTGGGAGCCCTTGGAAGCTTCGTAGGAGCTTCTTGGGAACTTTGGGAGGCCTCGTGGATGGCTCTGGGTGGGCCCTCTTGGTGGTCTCTTGGGGGGGTCTGCCTGGCCTCTTGGGGGCCTCCTGGGAGCTTCCTGGGGGTCTCTTGGGGGCCTCTTGGGGCTTTCTTGCGGCCTGTTGGGGGCCTCTTGGGGCTCTCTTGGGGGCTTCGTGGGGCTACTTGGGGGCTTGTAGGGGCATTTCGGGGGCGTGTTTGGGCGGGAGGCTCAAAATTTCCGTTCAGGTTGCCCCTGTGGACCTCAATCATGGGGCCGTCTTGGGGCCTCTTGGACCGTCTTGAGGGTTTCTTGGGCCTTCTTCGAGCGCTCTTGGGCCGTCTTTGAGCGGTCTAGAGGGTCTCTCGGGCCGTCTTGGGGTGATCTTGGGGGCCTCTTGGACCGCCTTGAAAGGTGTGAAAGACGAAGAGGCGGATATGTTAAAAATGCACGCTTTCCTAGGGGAATGGGACGATTTTTGCTAGTGGGAGCCCTCTTGGGGCGCCGCTTAGGGACCTCTTGGGGCGTCTTGAAGGCCTGTTGGGCCGTCTTGAGGCCATCGTAGGCGCTTGGGGGTGATATTTCGGCGTCTCTCTTGGACCGTCTGGAGGGCTTCTCGGGCCCCTCTTGGACCGATTTGGAGCCCTCCTGGGCTCCGAAAAAGAGTTCTTGAGGGTTTCTTGGGCCTTCTTGGAGCGCTCTTGGGCCGTCTTTGAGCGGTCTTGAGGGTCTCTCGGGCCGTGTTGGGGTGATCTTGGGGGCCTCTTGGACCGCCTTGAAAGGTGTGAAAGACGAAGAGGCGGATATGTTAAAAATGCACGTTTTCCGAAGGGAATGGGACGATTTTTGCTGGTGGGAGCCCTCTTGAGACGCCGCTTAGGGACCTCTTGGGGACCTCTTGGGGCGTCTTGAAGGCCTGTTGGGCCGTCTTGAGGCTATCGTAGGCGTTTGGGAGTGATATTTCGGCGTCTCCCGGCTCTCTTGGACCGTCTGGAGGGCTTCTCGGGCCCTTCTTGGACTGATTTGGAGCCCTCCTGGGCTCCGAAAAAGAGTTCTTGAGGGTTTCTTGGGCCTTCTTGGAGCGCTCTTGGGCCGTCTTTGAGCGGTCGTGAGGGTCTCTCGGGCCGTGTTGGGGTGATTTTGGGGGCCTCTTGGACCGCCTTGAAAGGTGTGAAAGACGAAGAGGCGGATATGTTAATTATCCCAGTGCGACCCTACCTAGGAGTTGGAACCCCTAGGAAAGCAGCATTAGTAGCAACAGTAACGCTAAGCTAAAGCTAAGCTAAAGCTAAGCTAAAGCTAAGCCACAGCTAAGCTAAAGCTAAGCTAAAGCTAAGCTAAAGCTGAGCAACAGCTAAGCTAAAGCTAAGCTACAACTAAGCTAAAGCTAAGCTAAAGATAAGCTAAAGCTAAGCTACAGCTAAGCTCAAGCTAAGCCAAAGCTAAGCTAAACGCTAAGCGAAAAGCTAAGCGAAACGCTAAGCTAAAGCTAAGCTACAGCTAAGCTAAAGCTAAGCGAAAGCTAAGCTAAAGCTAAAGCTAAAGCTAAAGCTAAAGCTCCCAGGGGACTGGGGGGAACCGCTCCCAGGGGACCGGGGGAACCGCCCGGGGCGTGTAGCACTGCCCGGCCCCTTTAAGCTAAGAGAGTAAGAACCCTTCTAGGCAGAGCCTAGGTAGGGAAAAATGCACGTTTTCCTAAGGGAATGGGACGATTTTTGCTTGTGGGATCCCTCTTGGGGCGCCGCTTAGGGACCTCTTGGGGCGTCTTGAAGGCCTGTTGGGCCGTCTTGAGGCCATCGCAGGCGTTTGGGAGTGATATTTCGGCGTCTCCCGGCTCTCTTGGACCGTCTGGAGGGCTTCTCGGGCCTCTCTTGGACCGTTTGGAGCCGTCCTGGGCTCCGAAAAGGGACCTTGCCGGGAGTCTGCCGGGAGTCTGCCGGGACCTTGCCGGGAGTCTGCCGGGACCTTGCCGGGACCTTACCGGGGTACTTTTCGTCCGGGGACCCCCAGGGCCCGCCCCGCGCGCGCGAACTAGAAATATTGTTGAGCAGTTACCGGAGATCTTAGCACGCCTCTGGCCCGTTGGGCCGGCGAATTTTTGTGGATGTGTTTCTCTCTCTCTCTCTTTCATATGATGTCTCTCTCTCTCTCTCTCTTTCTAACGGTTTCTGTATTGTATCTCTTTGCACATATTAATGCATGGCGATTTATATGTATGATTCTAAATAGACACATGTGTGTAGTTACCGCTCCCTCTCTCAATTAGTTGACCTCGTGCCCCCGCCAATTCGAGCGCCCGTGCGGATTACCTTTGCCGTGCTGCGGCGTACGAAATAGTCATATATATATATATATATATATGTATATATATATCCCTCGCTCTCCCTCTTTCTCTATCCCTCTGTTCTCTCTCTCTCTCTCTCGATCCCTCTCTATCTCTCTCTCTCTCTCTCTCTCTCCCCCCGTCTCCCTCTCTCTCTCTCTCTCTATCCCTCTCGCTCTCTCTCTCTCTCTCTCTTTCTTTCTCCTTGCTTGAATTCGTCACGTTCCTCTTCATTAGCCCATCCTGCCCCCATATCTCCGAGGAGCCCGAGGTATTCTGGGCAGGCTTTGCCGACGACTCGGCTATGGAGTTCGCGACGTATTCCGTGCCTCGGGCTTGGCCGAAGGACTACGAAGACGAGGCGGCAGAGAAGGGAGTGGGCGTGGGCTTCCTCATTCTTAGCGTTTTCTTGCTCAGTCACTTCGTATCGTAATCGTTCCCTTGTCCTCCTCTTCCCTCGTCTCATCGTGCTCCTCAACCCCTCGTGCCTCTCCCCATGCTGCTTCCACCCCTCCCCGTTTCTCATCCTCACCATCATCATTGTCAGCAGCAGCATTAGCAGCATCAGATCAGCATCATCATCATAATAGTAATCAGCACCATCATCAACAGCATCATCATCAGCATCGTCATCGTCATCTTCATCAGCATCATCAGTTTCGTCATCAACAGCATCATCATCAGCAGCATCATCCTCGTCCGCATCGTCATCGTCATCAGCATCAGCATCATCATCGGCAGCAGCATCACCTTCGTCATCATCATCATCAGCAGCAGCATCATCAGCATCATCAGCAGCAGCGGTATCAGCATAAGCATCGTCATCATCAGCAGCAGCATCAATGTTATTATTAACACCATCGGCAGCATCATCAGCATCCTCATCATCAGCAGAAGCAGCATCTTCGTCAGCATCATCACCAGCATCATCATCCTTATCAGCATCCTCATCAGCAGCATCATCAGCATCAGCAGTGCCATCATTAACATCAGCAGCAGCATCATCATAATCGTCATCAGCATCAGCATCATCATCGCGTTCCCCCAACCCCTCCCCACGTCCCCGTCATCCCCATGCCTATTCTACATCCCATCATCCTGCCCCTTGTCTTTCTCATCCTGCTTGGTCTGCTCCTCCTTCCCATCCTCCTTGCCCCCCCCTCCTCGGCAAGATTGTCTCATCTGGGCATTCGCCGCGCAAGCGAATTCACTAGTCGACTCTCTAACCGCAGCCTCTGCATTGAGAAAATTGGGGGGCACGTTTGACGGACCGACCGGCAGATACAAATGCTCATGAGGAGCAGGGGGGATGAGAGGCGTTGAGATAGATAATGAAGAATAACGATGGGAATGAGTATGGCCCTCCTTTTCTGTCTTCCTCCCCCTTCTGCCTTCTTCCGCGCTCCCCTCCACCCGCCCCCCCCCCCCTCTCCACCCATGTTGCTGATAGCGGCTCCAGGCAGTGCGTCGCCCGTAGCCTCCCTTCCTCAATCGCTTCTCGCCCCGCCCAGCCTCCCCCCTCTGACAACCAGGACCTGATCCGATCCAGTCCTTCCTCTCTCCCCCCCGTCTCCCTATCCCCCCCCCCTCCCGCGCGCGCCCCACCCCCCCGCCCCTGCCGCCTCCCCCCCCCCCCCTTCGTCCCCCTCTCTCCGCACGCTCGCGCGCGAGCCCCCGCCAGGTCGCCGCCTGGTAGCTGGGCGGCCACTCCGGGGCAGGCCCACGCGCGGTTTCTCCGGCCCAGTGGGCGGCCGACACATCGCAGAGTGGGGAAGAGAAAGAGGTGGGGAGGGAGGGAGGTCGAGGGAGGGAGCGAGGAAAGGAGAGAGGCGATCGGCGACGGATGGCCCGCGGCCGCCCGCAATGTGTACTGGCCTTCGACACATCTGGCCCCCGTGGCTGGGTTGATGGCCACAGGCCTATTGGATATGATATTTGTTGGAGTCTCCTGGGATGCCTCTCGGGGGCCTCTTGGAGGCCTTTGGAAGCCTCTTAGGGGCCTCTTGTAGCCTCTTGGCATTTCTGGGGGGCCCTGTGGGGCATGCTGGGGGGCAATATTGACGGGAAAAGGCTCCCAAGGCCACGTCGCTGCCCACTTCATGGCCCTCTAATTTGCCCGTTTGAGTGTCGATTGAGTCGCATTGGAAGCGTTTTGGGTAGTCTTGGGGCTCGTTTCGGTACCTCTTGGCCCGTATTCGGGCCCTGGAGCTCGAAAGCGCGAGTCCGAAGTCGTGTTTAATCTTATGCAAAGTAGTGATGATCACTTCTCGGGGGCCTCGGTGGCGTCTTGAGGGCCTCTTCGGCCGTCGTGGGGCCCTCTTGGGCCGTCCTGGAAGCCTCGTATAACGTCTTGAGGCACTTCTGTGACCCATTTCGGCCGTCTTGGCGCTCTGTGACATCGGGAGAGGTCACGCGGCTCACACCAGACGCCATGCGGCGCGCTCCGTCCCTGTGACCTCTGGGCCCCAAATAGAGCATGTAGAAAACTCGATACAGAGTAGTCGAAAGGATCTGAGGACACTCCTGCCAGTGCCTGCGGCACGGTGGTGGGTCATGGAGGGAGGGAGGGAATCCAAGGTGAAAGAGGAGGAGGGAGGAGGGAGGCGGGAGGGAGGGAGGGAGGGAGAGAGGGAGGCACGGAGAGGAGGAGGAGGAGGAGGAGGAAGAGGAGGAGGAGGAGGAGGAGGAGGAGGAGGGAGGATGGAAGGGGGAGTGGGATGGGGACCAGAGTAAGCCCAAGATGCGCCAACCGATGTTGCAGTGCACTCTCCCGTCCCAAGTCCCCTCTTCATAAGACTATACAATATGCCTTTTCTCTGCGGGCTTCCCCTCGAATGACGAGCAAGCAGCCAGTCGGTCCGCCAGTCAGACGAGGGCGCCTGCTGTAAAGGATCGTCCCTCCACTTGCAGGATGCCTGTGGTAGCCCCATTTTGAGAAGCGCCTGGTTTCCATCCGTCTAAGAGTTGCAGGATGTCAAGTCGTGGATATATGCTCCGAGGAACTCCAAGGCGAGAGCCCTTCAAGGAGGCCCAGGGATAGCCTCAGATTGAGAAGAACATGCCCTGCGTCCGTCCAGGCGTTGCAGGATGCCAAATCGTGGACGTATGCTCCGCAGAGCTCACACGCGAGAGCCCTTCAAGAAGGGCCAGGGATAGCCTCATGTTGATAAGAACAGGCCCTCCATCCGTCTAAGCTCTGCAGGATGTCAAAGTCGTGGACGTATGCTTCGCGGAACTCTCACGCGAGAGCCCCGTTTCGAAAGAGGAGCCGCTCCCCATCCGTGTGTCAGATGTTGCGCACGTGTGCAGTCCCAAGCCAGATAGCAGAGCAGTCTTAAGACTGGCTCGAGGAGTCCGAGACGCCAGAAATCTTGTGGGGGCCTATTGCAAGGAAGCTTGAAAGGATGCCCGGGAAGCTTGCCAGCTGGAAGTAGGAGCTGCAGGCGAGCCTGGGAGGCCTTGTCCAGGAGCTGCGCAAAGGCTTGCGGCACACGTATTGGAAACGAGTAGGACAACGCTTCGGGAACAATCTGCAGTTTCAAACAGCTTGCCCTGCTGCGGGGACGCCTGCACGGCAGCCGTCGACAGGAAGCTGGCCTTCCCTTGCCTGCTGGCTTCTAAGTTTACAGCCCCTTTATTTCTCCAAGAGCCAATTTGGAAATATTGAACGCCGTGTCGTATAGGTCGAGGAAGCGTCACGTGGGTGTAGATGGTAGATTTCGTGTTCGAATGCGCGCGAGACCAAAGGGAAACCCCACCACTGTGGGGCACGTTCGGTAAAGAATGTGCCCATGAGGCTGCAGACCCTGGAAAAAATCTTATTTGATGATGGTGGTTGTGATATCCACGGCCGATCCACGATTTGATTTCCACTGGGTTCCAGGCCCAGATTCCTTCTCGAAGGGTTCCTTGTCCAACGCCTCCGCTGTCTTAGAGAGGACTCGCCATCCACTCGCGCAGGCAAGGACAAGTTGGAAGCCGAGCACGCACGGCGCCAAGGAGAAACCCCCTTTCTGAAAACGACCCGCCCTCTATCTATCGGCCTTCTCCATGTTTTTTGGTTGTGCAAAACAGTGGCGTGAAGGGGTCAGCAAAGCGAGAGCCCAATGTTTCAGACCGTTTGTGATCCACGCGCCAACGCGATTTGAATTTAGATGTTCCTCCAAGTTTCCTGCGGCGACGAGGACGATGAATATGAGGATGTGGATGGTGTTGCTGCTGATGGCGACTGCGAGCCTGGCAACGCTTGGGGGGAGATTGTAGCGGCCAGGAGAGCTTGGGAGCGTCCGGAAACGCTTGGGGCAATCTGGGGCGCACTTGGGTCCAAAATCGGAGTCGGCGAGGGTGCTTGAAACGCATCGGTTTAATGTGTATTCGCTATCGCTGTATTGATTTGTCCTGCATCTTGTGCCCAGAAGGGGCTCTTCGGGGCCATCGAGTGGGCCGATGTTGGGGACCAGCAAATGCGCATCAAAAGTCCGTTCTACATCTGACGGTGAGGGTTGGGTCGGGTGGATACGCACCGAATTGCATGCGCTCTGTTGCGTAGGATCGTGGGGGTTGTGTACGGTGGAGGTGCGCCGAATCATTTTTTCCATTGGACGATGAAGATTGGATCGTGCGGACGTACACCGAATAGTACTTGTTGTATCGGATGGTGGGGGTTGGGTCGGATGGGTACGCACCGAATGGGTCAGTTGCATAGAACGGTAAGGACTGGGTCATATAGATGTGCGCCGAAGAGTACGTGCCGAATGCAATGTTCACATCGGATGGTGAGGGCTAGGTCTATGAGGGAAAGGAATGGAGGAGAAGGAGGAGGAGGAGGAGAGGGAGGAGGGGGAGGAGGGAGGAGATAGGAGGGGCACAGGGGGGATGCGTGGGAAGTGAGGCGGAGGAGGGGAACAGCAGGGTGAGGAGGAGGGGTAGGGAGGGGGACTTGGAGCAGCAGGATGCAGCTTGCCGCAAACGCGGGGCTGCGCAGCTGCTGGCCGCGGCGCGCCGCGAGAAAACCTCGCGGCGGGCGCGTCGTGTCCACAGTATTTGTCATGAGGCTTCTGGATTATTCGACCTCGCACAGGCCTTCCTCCTGATCCTGATCCTCCTCTCCCTCCTCATTATCGTCATCATCATCTTCGTTATCCTCCTCGTCGCCCCTGTCCTCTCCCTCCACTTTCTCCAAATTACGTCCTCCGTCTCGTCCTCCGTCTCCGTTTTCTCTCCCTGATCTTTTCCGTCCCCTCATCTTCGATTCCCCTTTCCCATTCTTGAGGAGCTAAAGGGAGGAGGAGGAAAAGGTGGAGGAGGAGGAGGTGGAGGAGGAGGAGGAAAAGGAGGAGGAGGTGGAGGAGCAGCAGGAGGAGAAGGAGGGGGGAAGAGGAGGAGAGGGAGGAGGAGCAGGAGGAGGAGGAAGAGCTACTCCCCTCCGGCCCATCCTCCTCCTCCACCTTCCTGACCTCCTCAGGAGGGGAACGGGGAGAGAATGAGTAGGAGGGGGAGGTCAAGGATGAGGGGAGGAGCAGGAAGAGGAGTTGGAGCAGGAAGAGGAGGAGGAGAAGGAGGAGGAGGAGAAGGAGGAGGAAGAAGAGGAAGAGGAGTAGGAGTAGGAGTAGGAGTCAAGCTAGCCAGCTCGAGCGAGTCAAGCATGGCATGCCTAGTCCCACCCGCCCTCCCACAACATAAGAAGCAAAGCTGGCACAACTGGGGGCCGAAGTCACACCGGCCAGCCGGTTTGGTACAGCTGATGCGGCCGCGATGGCGGTTGCCGACGGGAACTGGCGAGCGCGTGTTGAATGCCGCGCACGCATTGCCAGACGAGTCGAGAATGGCCCGGTACACCGCAGGAAGCCAGAGGTGGCCGGAGGAAGCCCGACGGTCTGACAGGACACCCCAAAGCATTTTTGTGAAAAAGCATTGGGTTTTTGATGTTTTTATGTTGAAATGCTTGCAAAAACACGGTATTCGGTAGGATTCTGACATGAACGCGCGAGTGCTCTTTGTAGTATTTTTTGCACAGGATTCGCGGCCTGGGTGCATGACAGAGCATCGCGAGTGCACCGCGCGATGACGTGAAATCGCTGGATTTGACCGAATTCTTAAGATTCCTATGGTTTTCCTATGATTTCAGCAAGAGAGCCCGGGCGGGAAATTTGTACAATTTTTGTGAAAAAAGCATTGGGTTTTTGATGTTTTTATGTTGAAATGCTTGCAAACACACGGTGTTCGGTAGGATTCTGACATGAACGCGCGCGTGTGCTCTTTGTGGTATTTTTTGCAATGGATTATCGCCGTGGACGACAGGACGTCCATGTCGAGAGGAAAAAATAAGAAAAAATGTTGATTGTGTATTGTTTTTTACAGGTTAGGATGGGACCACCCGGATGCGCCCGCTATCTGCGGGCCTGAGGGGGGAGTAGGAGTATATTCTAATAAGGAATAAGGATAGGAGTCAAGCTAGCCAGGTCGAGCGTGTCAGAGGGCCCCGCCTATTCCCACCCTCCCTCCAATAACAGGAGCGGCAAAATTTCTGTCTGCTGGGCGGGGCGAAGACGAAGCATGCGCCGCGCTGACACAGCACTGCCACGTTCACTTACAAACTGCGCTGTGCTTGGGCGAGGTCGGCATTTCGCCCGCTCTCGCGCGGCCCGGCTGCCGCTGTCGCTTTCACGCGATTCGGCGAGCCATGCGCCGCGCCCGCGCGGGACACCACCTCCGAGCGGAATGCGCACGGAGCTTGAGCGAGGGCGACAAGTCGCCCACTCGCGCGGGCCCCCAA